TGCCCACAGCCTTCTGTCTCTTGTAAGTTCAGTCAGTTCCAACATACAAGATCTTCCATGTCATGATGTTCTTACAGACCATACCGTGGGGCCTTGGTTGTCATGTCTGCCCACAGCCTTCTGTCTCTTGTAAGTTCAGTCAGTTCCGACATACAAGAACTTCCATGTCATGATGTTCTTACAGACCATACCGTGGGGCCTTGGTTGTCATATCTGCCCACAGCCTTCTGTCTCTTTAAGTTCAGTCAGTTCCGACATACAAGATCTTCCATGTCATGATGTTCTTACAGACCATATCGTGGGGCCTTGGTTGTCATATCTGCCCACAGCCTTCTGTCTCTTGTAAGTTCAGTCAGTTCCGACATACAAGATCTTCCATGTCATGATGTTCTTACAGACCATACCGTGGGGCCTTGGTTGTCATGTCTGCCCACAGCCTTCTGTCTCTTGTAAGTTCAGTCAGTTCCAACATACAAGATCTTCCATGTCATGATGTTCTTACAGACCATACCGTGGGGCCTTGGTTGTCATGTCTGCCCACAGCCTTCTGTCTCTTGTAAGTTCAGTCAGTTCCGACATACAAGATCTTCCATGTCATGATGTTCTTACAGACCATACCGTGGGGCCTTGGTTGTCATGTCTGCCCACAGCCTTCTGTCTCTTGTAAGTTCAGTCAGTTCCGACATACAAGATCTTCCATGTCATGATGTTCTTACAGACCATACCGTGGGGCCTTGGTTGTCATGTCTGTCCACAGCCTTCTGTCTCTTTAAGTTCAGTCAGTTCCAACATACAAGATCTTCCATGTCATGATGTTCTTACAGACCATACCGTGGGGCCTTGGTTGTCATGTCTGCCCACAGCCTTCTGCCTCTTGTAAGTTCAGTCAGTTCCAACATACAAGATCTTCCATGTCATGATGTTCTTACAGACCATACCGTGGGGCCTTGGTTGTCATGTCTGCCCACAGCCTTCTGTCTCTTGTAAGTTCAGTCAGTTCCGACATAAAAGATCTTCCATGTCATGATGTTCTTACAGACCATACCATGGGGCCTTGGTTGTCATGTCTGCCCACAGCCTTCTGTCTCTTGTAAGTTCAGTCAGTTCCGACATACAAGATCTTCCATGTCATGATGTTCTTACAGACCATACCGTGGGGCCTTGGTTGTCATATCTGCCCACAGCCTTCTGTCTCTTTAAGTTCAGTCAGTTCCGACATACAAGATCTTCCATGTCATGATGTTCTTACAGACCATACCGTGGGGCCTTGGTTGTCATGTCTGCCCATAGCCTTCTGTCTCTTGTAAGTTCAGTCAGTTCCAACATACAAGATCTTCCATGTCATGATGTTCTTACAGACCATACCGTGGGGCCTTGGTTGTCATGTCTGCCCACAGCCTTCTGTCTCTTGTAAGTTTAGTCAGTTCCAACATACAAGATCTTCCATGTCATGATGTTCTTACAGACCATACCGTGGGGCCTTGGTTGTCATGTCTGCCCACAGCCTTCTGTCTCTTGTAAGTTCAGTCAGTTCCAACATACAAGATCTTCCATGTCATGATGTTCTTACAGATCATACCGTGGGGCCTTGGTTGTCATGTCTGCCCACAGCCTTCTGTCTCTTGTAAGTTCAGTCAGTTCCGACATACAAGATCTTCCATGTCATGATGTTCTTACAGACCATACCGTGGGGCCTTGGTTGTCATGTCTGCCCACAGCCTTCTGTCTCTTTAAGTTCAGTCAGTTCCGACATACAAGATCTTCCATGTCATGATGTTCTTACAGACCATACCGTGGGGCCTTGGTTGTCATGTCTGCCCACAGCCTTCTGTCTCTTGTAAGTTCAGTCAGTTCCAACATACAAGATCTTCCATGTCATGATGTTCTTACAGACCATACCGTGGGGCCTTGGTTGTCATGTCTGCCCACAGCCTTCTGTCTCTTGTAAGTTCAGTCAGTTCCAACATACAAGATCTTCCATGTCATGATGTTCTTATAGACCATACCGTGGGGCCTTGGTTGTCATGTCTGCCCACAGCCTTCTGTCTCTTGTAAGTTCAGTCAGTTCCAACATACAAGATCTTCCATGTCATGATGTTCTTACAGACCATACCGTGGGGCCTTGGTTGTCATGTCTGTCCACAGCCTTCTGTCTCTTTAAGTTCAGTCAGTTCCAACAAACAAGATCTTCCATGTCATGATGTCAAACTGTCTAGCATCTTGTCTCTTAGTCTGCCTCTGCTTCTTCTTTGTGTTGTTCTTACAGACCATACCGTGGGGCCTTGGTTGTCATATCTGCCCACAGCCTTCTGTCTCTTGTAAGTTCAGTCAGTTCCGACGTACAAGATCTTCCATGTCATGATGTCAAACTGTCCAGCATCTTCTCTTTTAGTCTGCCTCTGCTTCTTCTTTGTGTTGTTCTTACAGACCATACCGTGGGGCCTTGGTTGTCATATCTGCCCACAGCCTTCTGTCTCTTGTAAGTTCAGTCAGTTCCGACATACAAGATCTTCCATGTCATGATGTTCTTACAGACCATACCGTGAGGCCTTGGTTGTCATATCTGTCCACAGCCTTCTGTCTCTTTAAGTTCAGTCAGTTCCGACATACAAGATCTTCCATGTCATGATGTTCTTACAGACCATACCGTGGGGCCTTGGTTGTCATGTCTGCCCACAGCCTTCTGTCTCTTGTAAGTTCAGTCAGTTCCAACATACAAGATCTTCCATGTCATGATGTCAAACTGTTCAGCATCTTGTCTCTTAGTCTGCCTCTGCTTCTTCTTTGTGTTCATCGACTGTAAACACAGGCATAAAGTTCTGGTTGTTCTTTAACTTTTGGTCTTGTTCTTAGAACTTGGGTTTTGTCTGCACATCTGGTGAACAGATCTAGCTTATGTATGTGCAGACTGTTGATTTCTTGTCTCTCATGCAGATAGAGGGAGTTGCCGTGGCGTTGGCGGCTAGACGCCCATCTGCGAATCGGAAGGTCGTGGGTTCGTGTCCTGACAGAGCCGGACCTTTTTTTTTTCTTAAATGACCTTGACTGCCAGGTCGACCCAGTTTTGAGTGCAGTCCTGGGAAGTAAAGGCGGCCGGCGTGATGCTGACCACATCACCCACCAAGTGCTGATTGGTCTATACAAATATAGGTCTAGCCCTGTATGCCCAATACGCCTAAAGGCAAGGAAAAGGGTCCTTTACTTTACTTACTTACATGCAGATAGAAACACACCTAATTAGTTACCTCCTATGACTTGCTGGGGGATGGGGGGGGGGGAAGTTTTCTCTCAGAATAGGTTAGAGAAACTCACACAATAAAGATGAGAAAAATAGTCGTCGTTAGTCCACGTTCCAACATCATGGCAGAGGGGTCACCTCAGAGCCGCTTTGTTCCTGTGCCCATGGAAATCGCACAACATGTCTTTCACTGTCCCCCTTGAGACTCTTATCTTGAAGCTTGCACACAAGAATTAAGAAAAATAAGTTAAAGGCTTCTGCAAAATGTTCTTCTATACATTAAGTTAGGAAACATATTCTGGCCCACTGAATCAACACAATACCCCATAAGGAAGTTTAGAGATCGTCCTGAGGGTTTGCTTCATGTGGTGTAAATCAAAGAAGAAGAAGACAAACACAAGGCTCAACTAACAGATGTTAAAGAATGATTAACCCTTTGGAGACAGCCTTTTTGGAGTTTCGGTGCCAAGAAGACAGAGCCTTCAGGAGGGGATTCTCATTGTTTATTAACCCAAAAAAATCTAAACAAATAAAGCCTCTAATTAACATATATAAAACAATACAAATTCGTGTAGTAAATTGAATGAACTAACAGAATATTTATTAATCAAACTGAAATCTCAACATTTATTCAAATTATCTATTCTGAATAAGTCTTAACACCTGTATTTTGGGAAGTGAGGCCTTTTGAGGCCCTTTAGACATGTCTGGCACATGGCTGTACTTATTTTCCTGCCTCCAGCTATGTTTCAGTTGCTATGACACAACAGTCCTTCATGCCATCTTTGGGCTCAGGTAGCCCCAGAAAAACAATTGATGTAAAACTACAGAACACATCAAACTTTCGCGAAAACCATCAGTGAACAGCCCACTTGTGCAAGAAATGCGAAAAGCAGTCTTATTGGCTGGTACGAGAGCCTGCCAGCCAATTTAAAGGCTTCTATTATATAGGGTAAACAGATCGGCCTAGTCGTCCTTTTGGCTGCTTTGTGTTGGGCCGATATTTTGGCCGTGTCATCTCCAAAGGGTTAAAACTTCCACATTAACAGCTGCAATTCAAAGATAACATACAGTGAGAAAGGAAAATCCTGTGGATATGAGTTTTGGAGAGGAAAGGCTTCTGGCTGTAACACCCAAAGATTATGTCTGATGTCTGAGTGGTGGGTGAAGATTGTGTCTGATGTTGTCTGTTGTCTAAGTGGTGGCTGAAATTTGTGTTTGATATATGGGTGGTGGCTGAAGATTGTGTCTGTTATCTATGTAGTGGCTGAAGATTGTTTCTGATGTCTGCATGGTGGCTGAAGATTGTGTCTGATGTTGTCTTTTGTGTATGTGGTGGCTGAAGATTGTCTGAATGTTGTCTAAATTGTGGCTGAAGATTGTGTCTGATATAGCCTGTTGTCTGTGTGGTGGCTGAAGATTGTGTCTGATATAGCCTGTTGTCTGTGTGGTGGCTGAAGATTGTGTCTGATATTGCCTGTTGTCTGTGTGGTGGCTGAAGATTGTGTCTGATATTGCCTGTTGTCTGTGTGGTGGCTGAAGATTCTGTCTGATATTGCCTGTTGTCAGTGTGGTGGCTGAAGATTGTGTCTGATATTGCCTGTTGTCTGTGTGGTGGCTGAAGATTGTGTCTGATATTGCCTGTTGTCTGTGTGGTGGCTGAAGATTGTGTCTGATATTGCCTGTTGTGTTGAAAGACTGCATATGTTGTTGATGTTTGGTTGTGTCTGCTAAAGATTGTGTCTGTCCTTGGTTATTTCAGATTACAACCGGTTTGAAGCCAAGATCCAGGATCTCAGGGAACAGATGATGAACACAAGTACAGGCAGCCTGAGAACCACGCAGAAGAAGACACTGTTTGTAAGGTGAGTTACATGTGTCATCTCTCTCTCTCTACCTCTCTCTCTCTCTCTCTCTCTCTCTGTCTCTCTCTCTCTCTCTGTCTCTCTCTCTCTCTCTCTCTCTGTCTCTGTCTCTCTCTCTCTCTCTCTCTCTCTCTCTCTCTCTCCTCTCTCTCTCTCTCTCTCTCTCTCTCTCTCTCTCTCTCTCTCTGTCTCTCTCTCTCTCTCTCTGTCTCTCTCTCTCTCTCTGTCTCTCTACCTCTCTCTCTCTCTCTACCTCTCTCTCTCTACCTCTCTCTCTCTGTCTCTGTCTCTGTCTCTCTCTCTCTTTCTCTCTCTCTCTCTCTGTCTCTCTCTCTGTCTCTCTCTCTCTCTCTCTCTCTCTCTCTCTCTCTCTCTCTCTCTCTCTCTCTCTCTCTCCTGTCTGTCTATATCTCCTTCCACTCTATCTCTCCTTCTATCTCCATCTTCCTTTCCTCCCTCCCTCCCTCTGTTTTTTTCTTTCACCCTATTTTCTCCTGATTCTGTATTGTCATCACATGGATCTTTATCATGGTATGGGGCGTCGCAGGTCAACCCAGCCTAAAATGGGTACCAGGGTATATATCATGTGGAAGTAAAGGCAGTCGTCCTAAGGCTGAGCACATTATCCACCTAGTGCCGATGGTCTGTAAAAATATGGGTGCTCTTCCCATATGCCCGATGCACCTAAGGTGTAAAAAGGGATATTTACTTCCTTACTTTGCTATATTGTTGTCCCTCCCTCCACCTGTCCCTTGGTCCATCTTTCTCTCTTTTTTTTTGTTTTTGCTCCCTCTCTCTATGTCTCTTTCTCTTCTGTCTGTAACTATGTCTGTTTCTCTTTTCTGTCTGTAAAAAAACACAAAATACCAAGCCTATGTTCTGAAAAAGTACAGTTACTCACTTAGCTCTTTCAGTCCCAAGGAACGCATCGTACGTTCACAGTATCCTACACAGAAACCCAGTGAATGCAAGATGTGCTGATCTTACATCTCTCTTGACCAACTCTTGGGCTTCTATTGCTAAGCACCCCCCCCCCCCCTTTTCCGGGACTCAGAGAGTTAAAGGACCAAACATCTGAATATCCCTTTGAAGTAGTCTTCCTGTGTCTCCTCTCAGTAATCCCACTACTGCTCAAAGCATTTAGGAAGGCACTGTGGGAACACAGTTTCGCTTCCATTTCCTCTTTCTCAACCTTATTGTTTCACCCCCTGATTTCTCCCCTTCCTCCCCCCCCCCCCCATCTTTTCTCCTTCTTTAATCTTATTGATTAACTCTGTCACCACCGGATGCTACAAATCTCATTTCCAGTTGGGGCCAGTTCACCCTAAATGTCACTTTTTCGACTTGTCTATAGTGACCTCTGTGTGCTGGCTGAAGATTGTGTCTCAATGTTGCCTGTGTGCCGGCTGGCATCTGTGGCTTAGGCGTTGCGAATGCGCTTCATAATGCCGGGATGCCGGGTTCAATCCCAGCTGTGGGCCTTGCGCTGGTTTGGACAGTGGTATCGAGAAGCCGACCGCCGAGAAAGCAATGGACATAAATTTGCCTAGAAAAACCGCAACAGCTATAAGGTTGGTTCTGCAATGTCCTCTGTAAAGGATACGCAACTAACTTTAACTATAGTGACCTGTTTACAAGATGTGTAGTTAATGCTATTGGCTGTGTTGACGCCTGCGCAACTGTTCTCGGGGACTTTATTGATTGATAAAACTGGTATTTGCGTGTGTGTGTGGTGGGGGCAGATGGGGGGGGGGGGGAAGGGGCCTTTAAATCAAATGGGTTTTTTAAAGCCAAGTTAACCTCAAATTCTTTCTTAAGCATCAGTGATTGAGGTCTCAGGGTCATGGCATGTGTCACCCCATATATAGGAAAGGATTTTCTTTTGAAAGAATTCACACGAGGTCATGATCCATCTTTTTAGTGTTAGTGAGGTGAAAAGATTAACAGGAACAGTTGGATATACTCTTTTTGTAAAGATGTCTGGGCCAGTGTTCTATCTGCTGTTAATATTTTCTTCTGGTCAAACTGTTCTGTCTGTCATTGTGCAAATGTAGTCATATATATATATTTACGATCCATCAGTGATTTCTCTACAGAGCCCTGTTTGACTACGATCCCAGCAAAGATTCGGGTCTCCCTAGCAAAGGTCTGGCCTTCCATTATGGTGACATTCTTCATGTGACGAACGCCAGTGACGACGAGTGGTGGCAAGCCAAAAGAGTGACGACAGAGCGGGATGACGAGAGTGTGGGAATTATTCCTAGTAAACAGCGGTATGTATGGTGTACCTACGTGATGCTTGTCTGTGTGCGTGCTTATGTGCACACATGCAAGGGGGCTTAAAGAAAAACCACCTCCTCCTCCATCTCATCCACCTCCTGTTCCTGTTGCTATTTCTGTTAGTCTCTCTCTCTCTCTCTCTCTCTCTCTCTCTCTCTCTCTCTCTCTCTCTCTCTCTCTCTCTCTGTCTCTCTCTCTCTCTCTCTCACTCCCTCTCTCTCCCTCACTCTCTCCCCCTCTCTTTCTCTCTCTGTCTCTCTCTCTGTCTCTCTCTCTCTCTCCCCCTCCCTCTCTCTCTCTCTCTCTCTCTCTCTCTCTGTCTCACTCCCTCCCTCCTCCCTCCCTCCCCCCTCTCTCTCTCTCCCTCACTCCCTCTCTCCCTCCCTCTCTCTCTGTGTCTCTCTCTCCTCTCTCTCTCTCCCCCTCCCTCCCTCCTCTCTCTCTCTCTCTCTCTCTTCTCTCTCTCTCTCTGTCTCTCTCCCATCCCTCTCCCCCCTCCCTCCCCCCTCCCTCCCCCTCTCTCTTTTTATCTCTCTCTCACTCTCTCTCTCCCCCTCCCTCCCCCTCTCTGTCTCTCTCCCCCCTCCCTCCCCCTCCCTCCCCCTCTCTCTCTTCTCTCTCTCTCTCTCTCTCTCTTCCTCTCTCCTCCCTCTCTCTCCCCTCTCTCTCTCTCTCTCTCTCTCTCTACTCTCTCTCTCTCTCTCCCCTCACTCACTCCCTCTCTCTCTCTCTCTCTCTCTCTGTCTCTCCCTCTCTCTCTCCCCACTCCCTCCCTCTCTCTCTCTGTCTCTCTCTTCTTCTCTCTCTCTCCCTCCCTCCCCCTCTCTCTCTCTCTCACTCCCTCCCTCCCTCTCTCTCCCCCCCCTCCCTCCCCTCTCTCTCTCTCACTCACTCCTCTCTCCCCCCCTTCCTCCCCCCCTCTCTCTCACTCCCTCCCTCTCTCCCCCCTCCCTACCCCTCTCTCTCTCCTCCTCCCTCCCCCCTTGTATGTGACTATGTTTCTGCCTCTCTCCCCCTTTCTGTATGTTTGTATCTGCAAATCTTTCTTCTCTTTGTATTTATCTGTCTGTCTAAATGTCTGTCTCTTTGTGTTTTGTCTACTGCTGCTCTCTTTTACTTTGTTCATTTGTACGTGTGTTTGTGTGCGAGTGCGTCCGTGGGCGCACGGACCTTTGTGTGTACGTGCGCGCCTTTGTGTGTACGTGCGCGAGCACGCGCAAGACTGACTGTTACTATCTGTATTTTTGTCTCTACCTGCCGTACACATACTCTTTCTGCCTGTCAATCTCTCTCTCTGTCTCTCTCTATGTCTCTCTCTCTCCCTCCCCTCTTTTTTGGTGTGTATCTATTTGATCATTTTCACAACAAGCAATGGTGTAGCTAGATGCTGACCTGTAGATCTGAAGGTGATGGGTTTAATTAAATCCAAATGAAGCCAGACTTTTTTTTTCTTCAGAAATGACCTTGGCTTCCAGGTTGACCCAGCCTCAGATTGGTATCAAGTTAAGTCCTGGGAAGTTGACCACATCACTCAATGAGTGCTGATTTGTCTATCAAATCTAGGTCTAACCCTATATGCCCATTTTGCTTGAAGGTGTGGAAAAGGGTCCTTTACTTTATTCCTGTAAAACTGTACTGCACCACACTATGTATGAATACCTAGTATCAACTTTTGCCCTACTTATTCAGTTGACTCCTTTATAGGAAGTAATAGACCCTTTTCAGTGTCCTTTGGCTCTCCGTGTGGGTTCCGGGCCCCCATTGTGGGGAAAACAAGAATAGACCCACTGTCTCCCCAAAAGCATGTCGTAAAAGTCAACTAATTGGGGAGCTTCCTTTGAAGTCGGAGTGCATCTGCCTGAGGGGCAAGGGACCAACAGTCTGCACTCAAGTGAATCAGATCTGTAAAACTGATGCACACGCAACACTCAGGTTCTGGAGCAGGACTGCAGTTCAGAAGTGGACGAACAACCAGAACTTTCCGCTAGAGTTTACAGCTGGTTCTTCTTCTTCTTCGTCGTGTTCACCAGCTGTAAACTTTAGCGGAAAGTTCTGGTTGTCAGCTGATGAACACGAAGAAGAAGAAGAAGTGCCCTTTGGCGTAGTGAATATATGGAGCTATATGTTATAAACCAGTTGGGACTCTGTGGATGATTTATTCAGCTGCACACATGCAGGACTTTACCTGGTACCCATTTAGGCTGGTCTTTATTAACTCCTTAATGGTTTCTCTCTGTTATGATTTGTCTGTCTGTGCAGGGTTGAGAGGAAAGAGCGAGCACGGTTGAAAAATGTCAAGTTCACGGGCAAGAACAGTAGCAACACAGACAAGGTGAGGGGCCCTGTCAGTGGCTGCTTGTTGAGATACTTTATCTGCTGCGGTGAATGACATCTGTTTGATATATTTCTGTCTGTCTTTCTTTTTTTCCTTTCTGGGTTTTGTTTTCTCTTTCTTTTTATCTATCTTTCTTTCCCTTGGTTTCTTCTTTCTCTTCTTCTTTCCTTTGTTACTTTAGTCTTTCTTATCAGGGCTCATAGCAGGCCTTGAAACATAGAAAAACCCATTAATGACATCTTACAGCCTCAAGCCTTAAAAATCCATGGAAAATGTTAACAAAATAACAACATACAGTCATTCCTCATGTGGGATGCAATTTTTAGTTATTTTGAAGCCCCATCCTGGCTTTTGTCGGGGGCCCTAAATATAGCCGGTCCATAAATATTGGCCTAAGGGCTGAACGGGGTTTCTGCGACCTCTCCACGGGTGATCCTCATCCGCATGGTGGCACTTTGTGTCACCGGGTGTTTATCGCTTGTGTAATGCCCTAGTGGGGTACAACTTACTTACTTACTAGTTAACTTCTTCTGCATTTGACATTGAGTCCCGTCTGGGTCACAAATAGGATTGTGCATTTAAGATTGCCATCGGTCCCCCATAGCTTGTCTTGCAATGTGGCTCCCTTAGGCCAGATCCACAGTCTTTGCTGGGAGAAGTTAGGGCAGTACTGCAGTATGTGCTCAGGGGCCTGTCTTTCTGCTCCACAATCACAGGCAGCAGATTATTTCATGCCTATCCTGTGCAGGTGTGCTCGAAGACTACAGTGTCCAGTCTGAAATCTAAAAATTGATGTTTGTTCTTTCCTGTTGAGTTTCTTTATGCTGTCACTCTCTGGTCTGTAATCTCCATTCTGCCTTCTCCACTCCTGCTTGAAAGACTGCTTCAGCAGACTAGTTAAAAAAATAAGGAGGAAAGTCGTTGAAATCTGCAATGTGAAAGTGAAAATAAAACCAAAATTCATTGTAGACAAACTGAGGACTCACAAGGAGGTGGTTGTCCAGTGTTCTCGTGGCGTTAGTTTTGTGGTGGGCAGGCATGTAGGAGAGGTCGTTTACACAACTTGTATGGTTATTTCTGGGAACCGCATGCCCACTACATGCAGACAGTACCACATTGGGTAACTCATTTCTGGGAACCACATGCCCACTACATGCAGACAGTAGCACATTGGGTAACTCATTTCTGGGAACCACATGCCCACTACATGTAGACAGTGCCACATTGGGTTACTCATTTCTGCTGATAGTTTGTATAATTCCATCAAGAAGTTTCTTTTGTAAACTTTTGATGATAATGCCACTAGAGATATATTTGTGCAAACTTCCAGAGTGTTCTTATAGAACAGTCTTTTCAATTTGGGGGTCCACAGAACAAATTTAAGGGATCTGTGATATTTACAGAGAAAGCTTTTAACTTTAGAATGAAATTCTTTTTGTTTTGTTGTTGTTGTGATTCAGATATTTTTTTAACAACATTTTTCCATTTACGACACAATATGTTTTCCCTTATTTGTTAATTTTAAAAATTGTGGGTCGATTTATGTACAGAATTTGTTTAAAATAATTAACCAGCAGAACCAACAGTCTGCATATAATTCAGCCAGATCTGTGAAACAGATGTGCACACAAAACTGGTCCTGGAACAGGGTTAAAGTCCAGAAGTGAGTGAATAAACAGAACCTTCTGCTAGAGCAGTGGCTGCCAACCTTCCTTATGCGGTGACCTTTTAATACAGTTCCTCATGTTGTGGTGACCTTTTAATACAGTTCCTCATGTTGTGGTGACCTTGAACCTTACTATTATTTTTGTTGCTACTTCATAACTTCAGTGAGTACACGTTTTCCGATGGTCTTTGGCGACCCCTGTGAAAGAGTCGTTCGATCCACAAAAGGGTCGCAACCCACAGATTGAAAACTGCTGTGCTAGAGTTTAAAGCCGGTGAATGCTAAGAATTACCAGAGGACTATACAGATGTTAATTAAGTGCAATTCAAACTTTACGAGTCGCTGAGTGAATTACAAAAGACAGTGAAGACTTCAAACTAGAGACAACATTTAAGATATAGATAATCTATTTCATCGGAATGAAAGAAGAAGAAGAAGATGTTGAGTGTTTACTGGTTCTTCGCTACTTGTTTAGGTTACAGTTTAGACGTTATATCAACATAATAGCAGCACAAGGGTAGTAACCCATAAGTGCTCTGTTCTACTTCTAGCTCAAGCCTGAGTCCAAATAATCTCGGCGCAGTGTACAAACCTTCTTGTAGCACCGGCGAGGATTCTGAAATACTTTCGGTAGATTTTTAACTCCAAATTTTGCTCGGGCAGTGCTGTTAAGCTTTTTGATTTCCAACTGCCAAAGGATTTTTTAAGTGCGCAGCAATACACATGGGCGTCCGATCTTACTATCCAGAGACTAGGGAAAATTACTAGAAGTCCACGTGAAAAAATCCAAGCCTTCACCAGGGCTTGAACCCGGCACCTCCAGCATTTGCGGCGGATGCCATGACTCGAGACCACGCCCCCTTCTCTACATGTATTTCATGTCTTATTCTTCAGGCACCTTCCATCTCATCATCAGCGGCAGCAAATGACAGGAAGAAGAAGAACTTTTTGTTCACACGTCGTTTTCCATTCATGAAGAGCCGGGACCAAAGCGGAAGTGAAGATGTTAGTGCTGATGAACGTAAGTTGTTCCGTGGATCTTTTGTTGGTGAAGTCTTCTTGTTGTTCACCCATCTGCTTTTGATGAAACAAACATTTCAGGTTCAACCAGCATCCCCAGAGGGGGAGCTTTTGGTTATAATTGTGACTTAGGTGTGCCATATTAAATGGCTGAACATTGCTCACGAACAAGAGCCTTGAAAAGGACTCTAGCAGTGTTGATGCGATCAAAGGAGGCAGATGCTAACATTGTACCGACTGACAATGAAGTCATTTATGGGCCAGCAAGTGGGCGACCCAGTTGCAGATGTTCTTATTGTTTTGTTTAGCTCATTCAGGTCAACCATGTGCGAGGAAGTCTGGCTTAAAGGTAGAATGTTAGTCTTTAACTTCAGCATACCTCATTTGATTTATCATGTGGATGAAGGTGTGTTAGTCTTTAACTTCAGCATACCTCATTTGATTTATCATGTGGATGAAGGTGTGTTAGTCTTTAACTTCAGCATACCTCATTTGTTTTATCATGTGGATGAAGGGGGTAAGAATTTGATCCGCTTCTAATATTGGACATCCATTTCCACGACTCAAAAATGCAGATGAATGGTCATCCTCTCAGCCTCTGTGAGTTTATTGGAACAGGGGATTCCTGTCTCGAAACAGATCTACTTGTAATATTTTACATCCATTTCCATGACTCAAATATGCAAATCTTCTTCTTCTTCGCGTTCACCAGCTGTAAACTCTGGCGGAAGGTTCTGGCGGAAGGTTTTGGTTGCTCGTCCACTACTGAACTGCAGTCCTGCTCCAGAACCTGAGTGTTGCATCAGTTTTACAGATCTCATTCTCTTGAATACAGACTGTTGGTTCCTTGCCTCTCCGGCAGATGCACTCCGACTTCAAAGAAAGCTCCCCAATTAGTCGACTCTTACGACATGCTTTTGGGGAGGCAGTGGGTCTATTATTGTTTTCCCTACAACGGGGCCCCGGAACCCACACGGGGGAGTATGCAAATGAGTGGTCATCCTCTCACCTGCTCTGAATGGATTAGAACAGGTAATGGACGATGTAGTCCCAGCGGAGCTTTCTTATGTGAGGTTTGAACAACTGGTCAACATGATGGCACACGGGTAGTAACCCATAAGTGCTCAGTTCTTCTTCTAACTCAAGTCTATGAGTCTGAAGAAGCTCAGCACAGTGCACAAGCTCTGTAGCACCGGCGAGGATCCTGAAATACTTTGGGTAGATTTTTATCTGCAAGTTTTTGTCCGGCCAGCGCCGTTAGGTTACTCTTTTCAATTTCTAACTGCCAGGGTTTTTTTTTTTTACGTTAGCAACAATGCACACGGGCGTCTGATCTGACTACCCAGAGACCAGAGGGAATTACTAGAAGTCCAAGTCCACATGAAAACATCCCAGCCCTTAGCAGGAATTAAACCCAGCACCTCTAGCACTCGAGGCGGACACCATGCCTCGAGACCACGCAGCTCCCACTTTCTTTACAACTGGATACATTGTCTTGCTTGGTCTCTTGTCCTGTTTGCCTACTAGATCTGAAATCTGTCCAGTGGGGATTGAATATATTTCTAAGACATTTGTTCTCAAAACTGTCTAGAGCTACTCTTGCTTTTCCCACTCTTGCTTTTCCCACTCTTGCTTTTCCCACTCTTGCATTCATAAATTAGCACTGCAATCACACAAGAGTTAAAGAGTGTCTTTGACTTCCAGATGTTTGACAGTTTGTTAAAGGCACTAGATGCCAGTGCCCGATTCTAGATGATATTTCTGCCGCCGAGACCCCTATATATGTCATTTTACTTGCTAGGTATGTAAAGCTGCTGACTTTTTCAAGAATGTGATCGTTTGACTTATTGGTAAGATCAATAATTTTGGTTTTTATGGTGTTAATTTAGAGTCGATTTCTCCTGAAACATTTTGCAGATGGTTCGTTTTCTCTGAGATATCTGTGTACGTTGAACTCAAAAGCACTATGTCATTAGCAAAGTTAAGTGCCGATTGGTAGATACAAATATAGGTCTAGCCCTATATGCCCAATACGCCTGAAGGCGTGGTAAAAGGTCCTTTACTTTTAGCTTTACCTTTGTGTGTGTATTTGTGCATGCATGCGTGAGTGTGCTTGTGTGTGCTGTGGTTGTTGTTGTTATTATTATTAACTTATCATTACATTTGTTCCAGTTTTGCTAATTCTTACTTTTCTCTCTACACAACTGCTTTACTGGGATCCTTGCTGCGTCATGAATACTGTCTGCCTGGATTAACAGAAGGTATGCTCCAATTTTGATTCTCTAATATATACCTAAATATTTGATGTTGGAGTAGGGCAGATTTGGTCATGACCCTTTGGGAACAAGCAACCACGGAATCAGTAGAGAAAGAAGATTATTATAGCCTGGAGAGAATGAGGCACCTGGGTGTAACCAGAAGGTCTGGCCGGCTCACTACACTCAGAGGAAAGGCAAGATGGACATTTCACCATATTGTGACCTGTACCATCAGTATTGGAACTCTGCGCTGGCTGCTGAAGATAAGGACGGAGCATGCATGGGAATGCCCTGAGTGAAGTGATGTCAATTCTTGACTCAACTCAACTCAGCTCATGTTGTTGGAGTCTGTGGTTTAGGCGTTGCGAAGATGCTTTATATTGCCAAGGTGCCAGGTTCAATTTCAGCTGCAAGTGATTTGGCAGCCGACCGCCATGCATTGGTTTTGACAGTGGTATCAAGAGCTGACTGTTGGGTAGCAGAGGCAAACTACTGAACATAAAAATTGCCTTGAGAAGTCGTGAACAGCCACACACATAAAATGCTGCGGTTTGTTCTTCACGCAGTTTTAACATCTGCGGCTCACTCAAACGTCAAGAAAGATTGGCTAATAAACAGCATCTTGTCTGGGAAGCTGAAATATTTCTGTTATACCAAGCACCATGGTGGATTGGAAACAATAATATCAGAAGGCATGGTACCAGGAAGGAGGGGCAGGGGCCGACCATCACGAAGATGGGCACAGGATGTAAACGACTCCTTTAATATGAAAGTACACGAGGCAGGAGAGCTGTCGAGAGACCAAGTTTCTTTCAGGCAGACCGTGATGAGAGCGACGTTCTGCAAAGGACCTGCAACAGGATGATGAGCGAACTCAAACGGGGTAATTGTTTCGCTGCCCACCTGACAGCTAACCAAACACAGAAAACAAAAACAGACGTAAATGGGAGTGTATTAGTTGATTACTATTTTCAACAGATGTGACATCTTTTGAGTCTCCTATAAGAGGTGGTAATCTTACAGAGTGCAGCCGTGGAAGGGAATGTTGAACTAGGAATCAACATCACAGCACTCGGGACACTCCCATAAGTTCTCCGTCGCCCATTCTCAGTAATCAGGCGAGCGAAGAGTTCCGGTTCCGATGGCTCCTGTAACTGTCTGACTGTATATCCGTCGGCCAGATCCCCTGGTAACTCCTCACAGCGCCATTCTCCTCAGACCATAATGATCTATCTGCGCCTCTGCACTGTTCACCTCGTCCCCCCAAAACCTTGTCTGCTAGGTCAATCCAGCATTGAATGCGTTCCTTCTTCCCGTGTGGGTTCCGGGGCCCAATTATGGGGAAAAACTAGAACAGATCCACTGCCTTTTCAGCAAAGCATGTCATTGGAGTCGACTAACTGGGGACTTCCTTCAAAGTCGGAATACATCCGCTGGAGTGGCATGGAACAACCAACTGCACACAAATGAGCCAGATGACACACAAAACTCGGGTCCTGGCACCAAACCACAGTCAAAATGGATGAACAGCCAGGACTTTGCGCTGGAGCTTACAGCAGGTGAGCAAAGAAGAAGAAGAAGCGTGGGTACCAGTTAAAGTCCTGGGAAGCAAAGGCGACTGGTGTAATGTTGACCACATCAACCACCAAGTGCCAGTGGGTCTAGCCCTATATGCCCAATTTGCCTGTGGCATGGAAAACGGTGCTATACCTTTATATATATATTTATTTATGGTTAATATAATTCATTTTTTTCTCTTGTCTTTTCATTGCTGTTCTGCTGAACCTGGATTATACAGAAGGTAAAGTTCATCAGTGTTTCTTGCTTATATTAACACTACCATTATTTAGCTTGTTCCTGTATATATACACACACAGACATACAAATACACACACACACACATATATTCTGCTATCTTATTTTGTTCAGATACATTTTTTAATTAACACGCTACTAGACAGACAACAAATAAAATTGTTTTTCCAGATTGACTGAATTTCTTGTGATGCTGTACCATGCAAAGCATTTACCACAAGACTAGAGATGTTTAGTTCTGAGGTAGACTAGAGATATTTAGTTCTGAAGTAGACTAGGGATATTTAGTTCTGAGGTTGACTAAAGATATTTAGTTCTGAGGTAGACTAGAGATATTTAGTTCTAAGGTAGACTAGAGATATTTAGTTCTGAGGTAGACTAGAGATATTTAGTTCTGAGGTAGACTAGAGATGTTTAGTTCTGAGGTAGACTAGAGATGTTTAGTTCTGAGGTAGACTAGAGATATTTAGTTCTGAGGTAGACTAGGGATATTTAGTTCTGAGGTAGACTAGAGATATTTAGTTCTGAGGTAGACTAGAGATATTTAGTTCTGAGGTAGACTAGAGATATTTAGTTCTGAGGTAGACTAGAGATGTTTAGTTCTGAGGTAGACTAGAGATGTTTAGTTCTGAGGTAGACTAGAGATATTTAATTCTGAGGTAGACTAGGGATATTTAGTTCTGAGGTAGACTAGAGATATTTAGTTCTGAGGTAGACTAGAGATATTTAGTTCTGAGGCAGAGATTTTTAGTTCTGAGGTATACTATAGATATTTAGTTCTGAGGTAGACTAGAGATATTTAGTTCTGAGGCAGAGTAGAGACATTTAGTTTTGAGGTAGACTATAGATATTTAGTTCTGAGGTAGACTATAGATATTTAGTTCTGAGGTAGACTAGAGATATTTAGTTCTGAGGTAGACTAGAGATA